TAAAATTGCATGTGTTAAGATAAATAATTATTATTTTTTAATGGCATTGCACTTGCCTTACAGCTTACGGCATTTATAGAAATTCGTAGAAGCTTGTAGTTTCAGAAATATAACGTTGCAAAATTCAAATTTCCGAAAATCCAAATCTTACGAATTTTGAACGGTGATAACATGAGAGGGGATTTGGGTTAAAAATTTTCTTGTAACGAAGTTAACTATTTATTAATATTAAAAGACTGCTGACTATTTTAGATCCTTACATACGTATCGCGATAGAAAAAAACCGATCCCTACTTATTGGATTTGCAGAATTTAAAAAATATTTGTTGTTTTCTAACAAAAAAAAATACATTTTTAGGATTTTGAGAGACTTTGACTTTTATGCAAACATTCCCTTCTATTAAAATAAGTTTCTAGTAAAATTTAATTTAAAATAATTAATTTTTAATTTAAAATTTAATTTAAATTTTAATTTTAGTAAAATTTCAGCTGTCAATTTTAAAGGGGGTAAAATTTTTATAAACAGGTTGACGAGCGGACAAAATTAAAGTAGTAAGATTTTTTTTTTAATTTTTTTTTGGAAAAGTGCTAAAAAAATTTTTCGAAAAATTGGTGGGGGGTGGAGAACAGAAAAAATGTTAAAGTTAAAATCAAATTTAAAAAAGAAAATACTAATGTTTTATTTTCTTTTTTGCTTTTATGTTTTTCTTCTGGTTTTTTTTTTAAGAAAGCATGAAAAAACACTATGTTCATTAATATAAACCTCTAAATAAAGAATTTAAAAAAAAAAACTAATAATAATAATAAATAAAGGCATTTTGCGGTATTATTAAACTTTTACGTTACTCTTTTCTTGTTTTTTTTTTCTTTTCATTTTTTTTTCTGTGTAACTTACTTTACGGTTGAATTTTTCGACAATTTTCATACTCGAATGAATAATCTTAATAAATTTCTTATTAAACTTTATATTACATATATATATATAAATATACATATGTACACTCTATAAAGTGAATTTTATTATTTTCTTTTTACGGAATTGTAATAAAAGTATATACATACTTGCTTATATATATGTATATTGTAATATGATGGCCAATATTATTTACAAAAAAAAAAAAATAAACAGAACAAGTTTAACCCTAATATAGATAAAGTATGTATTGGTGGGTTTTGTTTTTTTAATATTAATTAAATACAAACAATAAAAACAGAAATTTCTACAAGTTATGAATATCATATTGTACCTAAGTATATATAAAATCTACATTAAATTTACATATTGCTCACTATAGAGCATTTTAGACGGTAAAGTATTCAGTAAAATTATATGAACCTTAGATTTTTTTGCACATGGCAAACTTTAATAAAAATTGGTATGAGAATTGCTAAAATTCACGATTAGCTTTGATTTGCTTAAACATTGGAATTATTGAAAACTTTCAATAATTATTGAAAACTTTCAAATAAGCTTATTCATTTATTGGAAAAAAAAACTTTAACATTGGGAAAATTTTAGAATAATTTTTTCAAAATTAAACAATCAATACAAATTAATTCTTAAAATTGGAAATTCATTCTCACTTAAGTGTAAGTCTGAAGTCAAATAATGTTTTTTCTATTTTTCCTTGCAAATTATAATCGTAAGTATTAAAAACAAAATTTAGTCTTCTTCAAAGTTTAGTCTGCATTAATTTTTTGTAACTAATAATTTACGATAAATTTTATTATAAATAAATAATAAAAACCTTCAATTTCATATTTTCATAAGAATTTATACTCGTAATCTAACAAAGTTTTTGAATTAAAAAATTTAAATACATATTTACAAAGTTAAATATGAAAAGTTAAATAGATAATAATTGTGCCTACATGTCACTGCCTAAGCCAATTAGAGAATTTATTTAAAATTATCTATTCAAATAATTAGGTAATTAAAATATAAAATAGTCAATTCTAGAAAGTAGACTATTGAAATATTATTTTGGAACATCTGAAATGTAAAACAAAAATTTAGTAAAATGTTATAGATTACGTATAAAATGCACATACATTTCTTTATATATTTGAGTTAATTTCTAGGTTTATTACTACAATAAATGCCAGTATTCTTTTAAGGAATATAAAAAAAATCATTTGAAAATAACAAATGAGATACCTAGTTTAATCCCAACAAATTAAACCATTTATATTAAATAAAAACAATTTACATTGATCATAGCAAATTTTGTACCTACCTACATATCTAGTTATTGAAATAAAACTGAATTCGAGAAAAATATGCATAAGATCTAGGTAGGTATACCTAAACAAAAACGAATGGTACATAAATAGACGACAAATACCTAAATATACATTCATAGATAGAATCTGGTAGGTATATACTTAATACAAAATTCTGTATTAATAATTATTATGACCGTAAATTGAATATATGTATTTACATCCATGTAAACTAAAAATATTATAACATTCCCCAGCTATGTGCAACAAACAATAATTACTTACTTATTATCTATTCATTGTAAATTGAATAAAATGGACTAATAGAGTATGTAACAATCATAATATTCATAATACATACATACATAATATGTAGGTATACCTTTACCTACTTTTTCATATCTTAAAAGTTATATATACATATATATATATACATCTATGTATAGATATATTCTTTTGTTCAATAAGATAAGCAGATTAAATTTTTTATATACTTAATAAATTAATTAAAAAGAAATGATTTAAAAACAACAAATTTGTTTTCGTGTATGTTTTCCTTATCTTTAGAAATATTTTTGTGTACCATAATCTTACTATACTAACTCAATATAAATGGTAATTACTTAATACCTTTTTATCTATAAATTGAAAAATATAAGTTTAGGTAGTAGAGTTAAGATATTTTAATAATGTTGGAAAGTAAAACAAAAGGTTCAGTCAATAACTAATTTATTTCAAATATTAGCTAAAATTTCACTTCATTAATTTATATTAAAATAAAAATTTTTGCATTTTATAGGCCCAATTAAAAAAAAATTGTTAGTTAGTTATATATAGATAGTATCCACCTACATATAAGGAGACACACATATAGGCCATCTACTAATTATCTCAGTAATCTATTAATTATTAACAATATGAGTTTTACCCTAAGGTAGCTAGGTACAACTGCCCTTAGGTAAATGTACGCAAGTAATAGTAAATAGTTTTTTGGCTTTAATAATTAAAAAAATCTTAACCGTCATCGGTAGGTATAGATTAAATGAAAGTACCTACCTTCATTTAAAAAAAATTAGTTTATTCCTATTTTTATATTTTAAATAGGATCGCTATTTTAGTTAGCGATATGTAGGTAAGTAGAAAAGTTTACCTACCTACGTAAATATTTCATTTTAATATTATCAGTATCTTCGTAAAAAACTTGTAAAGAATAATTCTTGCCAACTCATATACATAAATAAGTAATATATACTTAGGTATAGATACTTAAATGAGAGAACCGACCGGTCTAAAACAAAATTTATAAAAAATTAATGTTGTAAATTATTGCATATTAGTTATAAGTAGATAAGTACCTAACCTACCCTATGCAAAGTAGGTACATTTTTATTTATACATACAATATATAAAAGCGGCATTAAATTAAGAGTTATTTAACATATTTACTTAAACATATGCATACATACATATGTACAATAGTATCAATTTTTTTGTGTAATATTGAATTTTCCGAATTTTTTTTTTTTTTCACTACGGAGAAAAGAAAAATTTATAAAAACAACAAAAAAAAAAAAATACACACAAAACACAAAAGAAATTCCCCACCCTAGACTAAAAATATTTTCTATCCTTTTGCTTTGTTAAAAAAAATTCATATTTTCTTTTTTAATTATTTTTTTTTTTTAAAGAAAATTTTCTTTCCATAATTATGTTAATAAAAAAAAAAATACTATCTAAAAATCTACATTTATGAACTAAATTTTAATCACTTTGAAAATATTAAAAAAAATATTTCTATATTATTTTTATAAGAAGTTTTTTAAGAATTTAATGTTAATTTACATTTTTAATTGCCACCTATATGCTAAATATATTTTTTTTTTAAATATTAAAATTAAAAAAAATCTTTAAAACATTTTCCTGAATTTTTTGTTTTTGCTTCTTATTTTTTTCTTTTCTTTTTGAATAGAAAAATGTTTGTCTGCACTACACATTTTTAACGAAACGATTTTTTTTTTGTCAAGGTTGTTTCCATCTATCATCAAATTATTTTCAATTTACACTTTGAAATATTTATGTAAAATTATTTATTTTATATTATATAAAATAATTGTTATATTTTTTCACTTTAAACACAATTTTATTGAATTAATTTTGCACATAAATACCTGATAAATTTTTATTTTGCAGATCGCTCGCCATTCTTTCCTGTGACAGTGAACTTTTTTTTTCTCTCTTTTTCTTTTTCTTTGATAGATGGATGACGAACTGACTTTTTCATTCAGCTGAATACAATTACAAAAATAAAAAACAAAAAAAAATGGAAAATTAAAAAAAAAATATATGCGCTGAATGAAATATCTAACAGTAGCAATGACATTGACAATTTTAAATCTGAAATTGACATTATTATTGCGATACTTTTTTAATATCCATCTAGTGTTGGATATCATATATAACACTAAACACACTTCTTTAATAATTTAATAAAAAAAATGCAACTAAAAAGCTAAAAAAACTACAATGACGAACGATTTCGTTAATTTCTTTTCATAAAATTCTGTGTTAATTTTTGAAAACTCATATTATTTTATATATATGTAAAAAAAAATTTTACTTACCAAATCGTTTTCACAACTGCCCCTAATTTTCGTTTCGAATTTTCATTCATATATCACATTTTTTTACTCTCCAAACGTGCGTTTCGTAGTCGATAAAAAATTTGTTTTTGCTATTTTTGAAAACGTATGCGTTTGTACAAATTTTGACATTTAAAATCCGCAACGCAATAATTTTCATTCGGCTTCAACTACCACAGAAATTTTAAAATATTTTTTAAAAATAAAGTTAAAAAAATTTACAAATTAATAAATTGATATATATGTATATTATAAGAAAACGAAATAATAAGTAAATTATTGTTTCTATGTACAAAAAAAAAATGGAAACCGTAAAAATGTATGTTATTCAAACAGTTAGTCAAATTATTTAACCATTTTTATTTTAGCAAAAGGACTACAAACCAAAATCAATACAGAGCATTAGTGGACTTCATGAAAAAATATCCAGATATAGCTAAAGGTAATAGCACAAAGAGTTCCACAGAATTACAAGGCTTGTGGAGTAATTTACAAAAACAGCTTAATTCTATGGGTCCACCAAGTAAAGATGTTACCCAATGGAGAAAGGTTAACATTATAATTTTAATTAACAGTTTGCTTTCACTTTACTCCAATAACTAATGTTATTTTGATGATCAACTGAATTTTAAATTTATATTGTAATTCAATTTTCTAGGTTTGGTCTGACTATAAATCCTTTTTAAGAAAAAAATTATCCGGACAAAAAAAAATTAATATGTCTTCAGAGAGTGGACCAAATAGGAAAGTTTTCTTCAGTCATTTAGAAGAAGAAGTAATAGAGTTAGCTTCTTTGAGGGATTCAATGCAAGCAATAAATCAATTTCAAACTATTGAGTTTCCAACAAACGAAGAAGATGATAGTATGATATTCGTAAAAAATGAACCAGTAGAAAATACTTATAATAAAAGCTACAATATTGAAAACGACAACAATGATATTTTTGTTTTGCCAAGTTTAAATGATGATGTTATACAATCGGAATGGGAACCCAGAATCTATGGAACTAATCGAAAATACCAATATCTTTTACAAAAACAAGTTGATTGCCAGAAAAAATTTTATGAAACAGTTTCATCAGCTCTTTCGAAACAAAATAATAGCTGGCAAGATAATAATCCCTGTAAGATGATATATGCGTCATTAAGAAGAATTCAAGGTGAACATAAAGTAAGAAACCAGATATTGCAAGAACAACTGAATGAAATAATACGCCATAATAAATGTGTTGAAGAACTATCCGAAAAAAAACACAAAATTAAAGTAAAGATTTTAGAACTAAAACTACAAAAATTAAAAGAATTGAAAGAATAAAATTTTTTTTTAATTTTTACCTACCTACCTATTTACCTATTTTTGAATGCTTTTTTATTTTACATAAAATAAAACTAATTTCCTTATCTACTATAACAAATTTATTTGAATGCAAAAAATATTTTTAATTTTTTTTACGTTTTTAATAACAACTTTTTAAAGTGTAATGTGCAATGAATCTATTCTCATTATATTTAACTACAACAGCATCAGTCGAGAAATCCTTAAATTTATTTTAGAGCTTAAATCACATTTATCAAGGCCTTATTTATGTAATTAATGAAATTCTCAGAAAGAAACATAGTGAAACATTCGATTGAGATTCATTCTGATACAACGCTGAGTAGTAGAGCTTCTGCATTGATAGGAGTGTTCGGGGTTTAAATTTGACAATTCGTCAGCGGATTTACATATTTTTTGGATTCAAAAATTTTGTAAAATTTCATTTCTAATTTTAATAACTTTCATTTTCCAGAGATTCACTAAGGCATTCTTCCTCAAACTCAGCAAGATATTAAAACTTGTCATTGTCTACTTTATACTGAACTCTTATATTATGCAATGCAGTCGCGACATTAATTATTTAACTAATTTTACTTTAGAATAACGCAACTGACACTCATAATTGTAAGTTCAACAACATTGTAACCCGATCTGTGACCTTTGTTAAATCGTTTTTTTGCATGTTAACACATGTATTGTGAAATGGCGTTATTAACCATGACAATAAAGGATACTCAGAACCTCCTGATAGAGATATATAACTAAATAAGCTGCCGTTTAGCACAAAATACTACTAGTATATATATACATATATAATTTATACTAGTAACATATCATACATATATGTATGTTACACAGATAAGGACTGACCTAAAATTTTACAATGGCAATCCTCGTAATTGTGCCTGTCTTTAAAATGTTTGTAATATCACTGTTACACCACATAACAGATTCGTATTTGGATCCAGGGTGTCTTGTATTTATATACCTAATTCGAAATTTGTGATCAGATAGCTATTTGAATAAAAATACTTAGAGGAACACAGGAAGTTACAATTGTTTTTATGGAGCTTCACTTAAAATCATTGTAATATCCTTCACGGTTGTAATATAGTCGAAAATATTTTCCGAAAAATGTGTGTTTGCACGTTTGGTGTGTTGCACTCACACACATTATGACTCCCGGAATTCTGCTCTTTTTGTAGAAATGTGAGTTTCTCTTCTGATGACATTATTAAATTAATCCATTTTGGAGATAAAACTTTTCTGATGGTATTTAACATTTTCGGGAGGACAGTAGAAAAAGTTGGCTGAGCAATTCCAACAGGGAAATCTTTAATAAATCCATATTGGTGTCCTTCTTTTCCAAAAAAGCGGACGATCTCGCAATTGGAGATAATTTATTTTCCAGTTCGCATTTTTATTTAGTTCAAAATATTTTATAAATCTGAAAAATTAAGTAAACCTTAAGGATTGTACATATGTATATATATATTTTTTAGTACCCATATAAAACAAGTTATATTTACATTCATACATATTATGTTCTGCATTCTATGTTATCTTACTTTTCAACAAGTGGCTCAAATTTACAACAAACTCAAAATTTTTCCATTATTCCTTACGATTCGTGAATTATATTCTACTTGCTTTTCAATTTCTAATATTCCAATTAAAGCGATGGAATCCATTTCTTTTCTCCAGAATATTTGCAAGTTTTAGTTTACCTCAGGTGTTTATAATCAATTAAAAATTAAAATTTAAATAATGAATGTCAGTGAAGTACTGACGGCAATGCAAAAGCAACAGCATAGAATATATTATCAGCATAGACAAGACAATTACTTTATTTAGGAGATTTAGTTGTGAACAGAAATGAACGAAATGCAAAGTGCGGTTGTAAATGTTACATTGAGAGAAACAACCGTGAGTCGACCGCTCTGGTTTCTTTGGTATTGGAATTAAAAATTAATTTTCATATTTAGAGAAATGTGAATCATTTTTTTGTAATAACACATATATAATGGCGTTTGATTATGAAGTTATTCTTTCAAAAATTCTTTACTAAACTGAATAGACGTCTGCATCGTTGGCTGTAATTTGCCATTTCAAAAAAATGGAAATGGCAATTAATATTACACCAATTTATTTGGCAATAACTCTACGTAAACATTCAGTTAGTAAAATTTTTATAATAACTTATCCATGTGAACGCTCGGTTAAATAAATGTTTAATGACTGTTTACATATCAAACCGAGATCATTTGAAAGAAGTCTTATTGTATACATTAACGTAATTTTATTTGTTCCATTACTGACCAATCACAAAAATTTTTTTATATATGCCTAATAACATAATATATGCCTTTTAATAAGTTATGATCATATATGCCAAATACAACTATGCCAAATGGGCGATCAGAGAAATGGTACCAATCATATTACTTAGTAATGAATACTAAGAATATGCTATCCGTGCAATATTAAAATACTTCCACAGCTGTACAATATATGTATTTATTTACACAAAATTATTCTTAAATGTTTACGGCACTATATTTCTGATTGTAAAAGAAAAAATTGTTATTACTTTAATAACTGGGGAACGGCGCTGTAAGGTGATTTAGTTGAAATCATAAAAATTCAAAATAAAAAAAAACAGTGATCGTATACAGTGGAGGATTTCAAACCCAGAACAGCAAACGAATACCAAAATCAAGTTGTCAGTATTTTGTATATCATAATATGATAACAAAAAGGCCGCCAGGCTTAAAATACTATTTGAGACTATTTTATTGCCGACGGTTAAATCCTCGGCGTTCTTCAACGCTAACCGAAAGCATTCTTTCAACCCTAATTAACGAAATTGGATGTGTACAGAGTGATAGACCATTAAAGACATGACAACACAAAGAGTAGACACAAAGATTTAACGATACGAACTGTTTTCGACTTTTTGATTTAAAATTACTTTCCAAAATCTCTAAATGTAAAAGCTTTGCTTAATATATTATCACGTAAAATTTAAAAAACGTGTAAATGATGATAAATCACTACATTTGACAGCAATGAAAGGAATTTAGTTGATACTAGAGGATCTTTTGACTTGATTGTAAAGTTGTTAGCCCTGAGTTCGAACTTCTTCATTAATGTCAGTTTAAATGTCATCTTAAGACATTTTAAAAAGATGCACAAATTTTAAATTTAAACAAGTATATTTTCTTAATAAAATATGTGGAAAGCCGTTAGCAAAAGCACTGGTAATTTTTTATTAATCAATATAAATAAAATAAACTATTTGATAAGTTAAAGTTTATAATGTGTTTGATGGTAAATTTTACAATTGGATTTTAAAGGGGATGTATTTTACATGCTACCAGAGAAGGAGAAGTATACTGTTGGAAGACAAAACAGTGATTTAAATATAAAAAATGATTCTTCAATCAGTAGAAATCACGCTTATTTGTTACCATCACTTGATTACATTGAAGCTATTGATGTAGGTTCTAAATTCAATACGTACTGTAATGAAAACATTGAAAATAAAATTCCAATGGAGAAGAATCAAGGATATAAATTAAAAGATGGCGAAAGAATTAAGTTTGGCCAAATGGATAGTGAATATGTATTGACAAAAATGAAAATCGTGACGGTTCCATCAGCTTTAAGTTCGAATGAAAAGCAAATTTTAGCAAAAATTATGAGCATTATAAGAGGACAAATTGAAGATGAAGTAACCCCAAAGTGCACACATTTAACAATGAGTGGAATCACTATAACAATAAAACTGTTACATGCTCTCTTAGAGGGTATTTCAATTGTTAATTTAAATTTTTGGAAAGACTATTTGGAATGCTTAAGAAGTGGAGAAAATTTACCGGACCCACAAAAATATATTCCGGATGTAGCAGAAAATTTTATGAATATAACGAAAGAAATGCTTTCGTTTAAAGAAGAACGTAAAACACTATTTCGGGAGAAGATTTTCGTTTTTCTCAATAAAAATATTTATGAAATCTACAATCCAATTATAACAAAGGCTGGTGGACAAACAAAAATATTGAAAAATGTACCACTTTCTGATTTGATAAAAAAGAATATTGTGGTGATTCAAAACACTTCTACAACGCAAAGTGAGGACACAGATCAATTGCTGGATAAAATTTCAGGTTGTATATTACTTTTTTTTTTGTTTTATTTTTGAAGTGTAATGATTTTGGTTATGAAAACTTCAAACATGTATACATAAATATTAGTATGACAGTTCTAGGAAATAGCGCATCAGTGTATAACACTTTAAGGTTATAAATATAAACAAAATATTAAACTTTGTGTTATACATATTTTTGTTGTGTAAAAAAAAGTCATTAGTGAAAAAAAATTATCTTTTTAAATACAATAAGTAAAGAAATTGTATTAAATTCAATTTTTATTAATTTTTATTTTTTTGGTGTTTTAGAATATCTTAAAAAGCATCATCTTAGATTAATTCCTGATTATGAAATAGGAATAGCATTAGTAAATTGCTCCATTCAGAAGTATTGTAATGCTCAATACAGTTTCGAAAGAGAAATTTTCAAAGAAAAGAACGCAGAATTTGGCTCTACGGAGTCCCAAAACAATGATATTATAGCTAGGGAAACCCCATTATCAGAAATGAAAGATAAAAAACCTCGCAATCATTTACCAGATATCGAAATTCCGGAGAGTGTTGGAAGTGCAGTTTACGACCTAACAGAATCAGATGCCGAAGAGTCTGAAAAAATAAACTCAGAAAATATTGATCAAGATTCTCAAGAAGTTATTTTAAACATAGTTGCAGGGAAAGAAAATAAAAATATGGAAAATAATAAGTTAAGTGAAAAAAATGATGACAGCTCACAAGATTTATTGGATAAACCAAGTGCAGATTTTCAAAACAAGAGAAAACGCGAAGCAAGCCCGATAAACAATCAGAACAAAAAAATTAATTTAGACACGGGAAATAAATCAGAATTCAGTTCAATTTCAAAATCTAATGCTTTGTCTGGCTTTTTGGAGAAAAGCTTAATAAGAAAAAATGTTGAAATGTCTAAACCACAGGATCCTTCTAGTCAGTGTTCATCTCAAGCTTCTATAAGTCAAAAGAAACGTGGACGTTTTGCAAATTTGGATAGTGATGGCGACGATGAAGGTGATCTTTTTGATTTCGGCAAATCAAAAAGTAAGAAAAGTCGGCCTAACATTGATAGTTCTGAAGATGATGTTGATCAGGGTGGTAATAACAGTGAAAATGAACTATTTAATATAAGAAAAACCAGCAACTCTATTCAAGCTTCTCGAGGAAATGTGTCCCCACCAAAAGATTTAAATGAGGTCTCCAAAACTGTAAATTCAACCATGTTAAAAAATGGTACAAAGCAAGGTTACACAAATGAATGGAAAAAATCAAATGTTCCTGAAGAACCAATATTAATTTCTGGTTGGTTATGTAAAAAAATGATCAAAATCAAAATTAAAGATGAAAACGATCAAATCAAAATTAAAGATGAAATAAGTACTACAGATGATACAGATATAACATGTAAAGAAAATGCAAATGTAACAGTAAAAAAAGAAAATCAAACAAATTGGATTGAATCTTTAAATGGTGGTTTTCAAGTTCGTGTTAAGGAAATGCATTTAATTTCTAAATGTCCAGCAGCATCGAATACTGTGCAGCCATTTGAGGATAGTAGTTCTACTATAAGTACAACAAATGGAAAAAATTTCAAAGCTTTTACAAAAGTAATTTTTTTTTAAATTTTTTAAAACAGTTAGATTTAAGATGATTATTTATTTCTATTTTTATGTATTTTTAGAAACAAAATTTCATACCTCAAAAGGAAATTTTAACAACAGTGCCGCATCACGTAACAGGCTTTTCATTTTAGGAGTGTGTATTGTTGCTACATTAATTTTTTTACTTTTTTGTAACATTTAACTATAACAGAATTATTAAATGTTTTATTATAACGAAATAATTATGATTTAAGTGTGTAAAAGTTTAGTTTATAAATGCATTCCGAAAAAAAAACATTTACAAAATGCAAAGCAAATAAAACACATTTTGTCATAGCTTTTTAATATTTAAACAAAATGATAAAGCTACTTAATATCGTGTGTATCAGATTAGAGTACGTTCTTTTATATTTTTCTAAAGATAAGTTATACAATGTAATAATTATATAAATGGTAAAACTACCGAATATTTTTGTCTTGTTTGATACTTTAATATTTAAGAGTGAAATAAACTTATATATATTTTTTTTTTTCGTTTTCATATCAATAAATTTTATTACCATTCATATATGAATTTGGTATAAAACAAAAAACAACATTGCAATATTTTTTATTTGATTTTGTGAGCCATATAAATTTTCATATATTAACAATTTCATAGAATTATAATTAAACATTTAGTTAAACATATAATTCACGTAAATAAAATTGTATACATAAAAATATTATATAGGTGATGTAAAAAAGTTGTGTAGGTTATAAGAACTTTAATAATTAATAGGCATCTCCTATATAACAAAAATAAAAAGCAAATAATTTTTTTTGAAGCTTATTAGAACTTTAATTACTGCTCACAGTATTACTTTAGTAAGAAAATTCATATTTTCCAGTTTAAAAATTAAGTAACAAATATCAAATTGAAAATTATTTAGATTTGCCTATATATTTATGTATAAGCTTATGTAAAAAGTAAATTTTAATTAATTTTTTTTAATGCTTAAAAAAGATTTTTAAGTTAAAGATAATGGAAGGATTGATTTTTTTTGTTTTTCATTTTAATATCTCAATTAACAAATAATAAAACATCAAAATGCATAATCTAATGTATGTACAAAAATATTGTAAACAATATATTGTAATATTTTTCATAATATAATGAATGATAATTCGAATAAATGACATTAAAAATAAAATAAATTTTATTTTTATTATAAGATATACATATAATTTAATTTTAGGCTACGGAAAATTTAAAACGAAATAAGCTAAAATGCTGTGGATTTGTATGTATAAAGAATACTTTTATATCAGTATATTTCAACAATTTGGTTTATATAAAAGAAATAAAAATTTTTCTTTCATTGACTTCATATAATTATTTACAACCATTGTACAAATTTTTATGAAACTAGTAACATTGAGCAACATCGTATTGACCCGCCTGTGTATTTTCAATCACTTCAAGCACTTTTACTTTTAAAGGAAATTTGCAAAATGTGCATTTTATAATATTGCTACTAAAAATGCAGAAATAAAACAACAATTCAGGATTGTAATTTATAATTTTTATTTTTACTCTATATAATAATGGATATAAATAAATATATAAACAAATATGTTTTAACTTAACAAATTGTATCGCAAGCTCTATAGAGCACCGTTTTATTTTTTATTTAAATTTTTAAATAGAGCCAATTTTAATTTTTAATCTTTTGTGTTTTTAGTGGTTACTCTGTACTATTATCGTTTCTTTTTTTTTTTTGCTTTTTCATTTTTGAGTGATCTTTAAATAAATCAATAATAATGTACATAGTATAACTTTAATAACAATGCATTCATAATTAAATATTGTAATTTTTTGGAATTGTAAGTGGTATAAAAACAGAGAGTATTTTCTAAATTAAATTTTAGGTCGTTTAAACAATTTCTTATATTTCTAGGAATAGTTCGAATGAACTTATTTTTCTTTTTATTTTTTAGTATTAAAGTAAAAAAAAAGTTATTCTTAAATTCAGTTTATATAATATTAAAAAATAATAAAACGATAAAAAAAACGCAAAATTCATAACTTACGAATTTATTTAAATATGTACAATATTGTATCTATTATTTCCTAAGACTTAAATATAATTAAAAGTAGATCTTAACTACTAATAATGCAAAATGGATAGTGAGAATTTAAATTTTAAATATAAATTAATAAAAAAAAAAAACAAAATCGATTCATATTAAAATAATTTAACATTTGATTTTGTACAGTTTTATTGATTTAATTTACCGATCACTAAAATTAATTAATATTTTTTTTTTGTTTGTTTTATATACAAGAAAGTGAAATACACTAAAATATATTTATATATTATGTATGTATGTATCTAAAGAGAATGTTTTTTAATGAAATAATTTAATTTTACCAAGACGAATAAATTGATGTTTGTATATTCGGTACTTATATGAAATTAAAATTTAATATCTGTTTAAAGATTATTTAATTATAAAAATAATAAAAAGAAATCAATCAGCAATATTTATAATTAAAATTTGTTTTTTATTAACCAGTAATATTAGGTTTAAGAATTAAATTAATTGGTCGATAACATATTACATGTAGTAGAAAAAAATTTTGGTATCAATTTTTTTATTAATTTCATCTTTAAATAAATAATTAATTTGTGTTTTTAGTATGTTGTAATCATTTTTCTATATAATACTATATTACAAATTAAGTTTCGAAATTGTGAAGCCTTTCTTTTTTCATTTTACTAGAATAAATAATTATATAACTATTCTGTATCGAAAAATTAGACACAATTTTAATCTTTTAAATAAAAAAGAAAATTGCTCTTTCACATTAATTCAAAAAATAAAAGTTGATCCCTTTTATAAAATTTTTAATATTTCATTAATAAACATTCCATAAAATTTTTTTCATATATATTTTTTTTTAATTTTCTTTTTGTATTTTTGTTTTACGCAAATTGATCCTGTTGCGAAAAAGGAAACAGTTATAAAAATATTTAATATTAGTTTTATTTTTTTTTTTGCAAAATTTTTTTTTTTTTTATTTTTTTTTTACATTTTTTGTTCCTAAATTATTAAAAAATATAGAAATATTTTACAATATTATGAAAATGTAAGGAAAAGAAAAAAAAAAAACAATTATTGGCGATAAATAAACGAAAAAAGTTGAAAATTGCTCTAAAAAACAATGTTTTTTGTTTATTTGTGTTTAATTTTTGTCGGTTTTATTTTTTTTTATTTTTTAATTATTTAATAATAATTATGACTATATGTATATAATAAAAAGCAACTGCATAGAATTTGAATCTAGGAATTGAATATTAGAAACCCAATAATTTATAAGAGTAAGATGAAGCAAAAAATATTTTTGTTAAAATAAAATAGCTGGATTAATATTGAAAAATTTTTATTATTTGTGATTGTAATGATTTTAAAAATTTTTTGTTTTTGTAATTTGTACACTTATAATAATGCGTTTAATAATTTTTAATACGTTTAAATTTAAATTGGTGGCTATAATAAATATTGAAATAAAAATTAATGTATGAAAATTTTGTATTGTATATTGTGTGTGCAATGTATAATTAAAGTGGTCCGATCTTATAATCGGTGGGAATTGCATATATAATGTGGTAGCATTACGTTATATTAAAAACATGTAAATACGTATTATACAAATATAAAATCGGCATAATAAAATATACGTATAACAGATAAAAAAATAATTAAAGTATGTATGTAATTTTGGATTTTATTTGATTTATTTCTGAATGGATAATGAGTTTGATTTTTTGAATTTAATAAATATAAAAACCAATGATTAATAATATTACTTAGCTAATAATGAAAATCCAAGCACGTATTAAATATTAACATTAAAAATCACGTCTATCAAATTTATTTTTGCATTTAATTAAGTTCGCAAAAAAAAAAAATATTTTTTTGTTTATAATATATAAAACGAAACATACATTTATATATTTTTTTCTTAACATAATAAAACATTTGAATTTTTGAAAGTCAATTTTTTTTTCTAGTTAACATTTAAAGTATTGATAATAATTCGTTGCTGTTAATTCGTTTTTTTTTAAATTTATTTATAATATTTTATTTTAGTTTTTAATTTTTCTATACATACATATTAAGTATGTAAATAATTTAATATTAAAGATTTTATTATTACATCACACCTATGGTACATAATATTAAAATATTTTCGGACATATCAAATAGGTATAAAATAAAAATTTCCCAACATTTACAATTGAACTTCGAATAAATACCTACTATATGTGTGAATGTTTTAAATTTTTTATTTGAATATGAATAAAATAGTCCAATATAAATATTAATTAGTTTTCAAACTTAAATTTTTCTTGCCTTAAATCAAAAATTTTCTCAGGTCGGAGTTATATTTTTAAAGTACAGATAATTACATATAAGATAATACTATACGCTATTATTAATTATTAATACAAAAAGGGGCAAGTAAAAAATTTTCCGAGAATATGAAATTTGAGCTGTTAACATGATAATAAACAAACAAACTATTTGCAAATTTTCTATTTTCAATTCAAGTTAAAAATGTAATACTCGTATTATGTGTAGGTTCATAAAATTTATTTTAATAATTATAAGTTCATTTAATATTGATGCTAACAAAATAATGATGATTCGTAAACTGATTATTTAATAAAAAGAATTGGAAATTGAAAAAAAAGGAAAATTAAAGATAAAAGTCGAAGAAAATTCATGAAAATGGGTACGAGTAATTTTGAAACAATTATTTGCTATCTAATATTACAAATTTACAAAATAAAAAATACTTGTAAATGTAAAAAGAATCGGAACTATGTAAGAGAGATAAGAGTTCTCTGTTGTTTGTAAAGTAGTTTAAATGTTAATTCAATTTAAATAACCGATAATTCTGAGGAAACGTTTCCAATTAACAGCATAAGAACCTATATAATATATAATGTAAGCGAAATTTCTTTGGGAAATCATTTTTTAAAGTAACGATTTATGAAACCATTTAACATTTTCAATTTATTAATTAATATTTAACCTAAGCCGTTTGTCATCTAATTTAAGTTGAAACTTTTTAAAATATTTATTTTAAATACGATACAAACACGAGTTTATGATGTTATTATTCGACATATTATGTATTGTGTATTGTATTCAATATAGATGATTTGATATTTGTGAATTATAAGCGATTTATAAATTTAAATTTTAAATTTATTATTTATTAACGTTAAGTGGATTTAAGTTACAGTAAAAAAGAATATACATTCTCGCAATATATTATGTATATTGAAATTATTTTTCTAATTCCTGGAATTAAATTCAATGCAGCAAATTAAAAAAGCCTATATATTATTATGCATGTAAATTAAAAAAAAAATGGCGGGCAAAATTTGTTTTATCCTTTTGTAATGAAAGAGTATATTTCAGGATGTAAGACTTTCTTATGTGTGTTTTGTTTCTTTTTGTTTAATTTATTTTTTTTTTTTTACTTTTAATAATTTCATTTCTATTTTACAATTATTACATATATATTTTATTTATATTAAATGTATATTATATAATATTATAATTAATTTTTTTTATGCGTTAAATAAAAACGAAGAATGTACAAAAATTTTTTTTACTTACTTTTTTATGTTATTTTTTGATTTTTTTTTGTTTTTTTTTTTTAATTTTTTTTTTATTTTTTTTTAAACTTTTTTTGTTGAAATATAATATTTACTATGAAAAAGGCAGTCAATACAATATATTTTAGCATCTAAATCGTGCTCCATACCAAATATTTTAAGTTTATATTTACATATTTTACATATATATGTATGTATATATATGTATATATATGTGATTTTTATTTTAAATAATTTATATTATATTGTGTGAATGAGTTTTTTTTTCGACTGTTTATTTTTTATAATGTTTCAATTCATCTTTTATTTTATTTTAAAGATTTAATTATTTTATTTATTTTTTTTTTTATTTTACTAACTACTCTGATTTTTGGTTTAATTTTATTTTAAATATTTACATAGCTTTAATATAATGTAGTTTGCTTAGCAGGATTTTCTAGTTTTTGATAAAATTATGGACATTTGTTTTCCTTAAATTCATTCGTATTTGAAAAGAAATAAAATTTACAATACTATAAGTTAAATTTTAGAGGGTTAAAAATTTTGAAAGTAATATTCGAATATTAACAGAAAATTAAGGATTAAATTTAAACATTTAATTAAATTATTTTTAAAAGTTAAAACAATATTAAACTATTGAAGCTATAAAATCGAAATTTTTTAATGTCTTTTAAAGTTTTTAAAGTCAAAAAGTTGCTCTTAAAAATTTTTTTCTTAAAAATAAAAAGAAATTAAACTGGTAATTTTGTTTAGATTTGATTAGAGCTAAAATTTATTTAGCTCTATTGATATGTGAAGTTTTATTTTTCTTAAAAATTTAATAAACTTTGAAATTCAGCAAATGATGAGTTTTTCAAACTTATATTTCAATTACAGATAAGCAGCAAATTAAATAATATAAATTATATAATCTATTATAAAATTTCAATATTCAATTTAATTAATTTTTTTATTGATTTTGAAGCCAATTAAACAATTAATGAAGCAATTCAATAATTTGAATATTTTGCAAATTGTCTCTACATACAGGAAGGAACTTGAAATTATAATAATGATTCCATTTTATTAAAATAAAATAAATGAATAATTAAGCATTATGTATAATATTTAAAACATCGCTTGTTTTAAGATATTACCGTTATCTAATTTTTATGATTTACCTAAGAAAATTTTATAATTTTTGAATGAATTTAAGAATATATATATAGATAATTAAATATATTTTTTGTAATTTGCTATAACTTTTTATATAAATATATATATGTGTATATATATATAGTGATATAATTAATTGGTGATAAGATTCATCACAGTTTTTCAAAATATCAATTTATTGTTTTGAGTTCAAATTTAAATATTTTCTCAAATGCCTACATGGCATATACTCGTATATATTATGTAGTAAGTGTTATTAACCATTTTGTAATAAATTGTGTAAAAACTTATAAGATCCTAAAACGAATTTTGATATTTATATAAAATTTATTTAAAATTCAGATAAAAATGTTTTCAGAAATGTGACAATTAAAACAAAATAATATACATACAAACATTTGTTTAGTAAATTAAAAATTACGAAATAGCAGATATGGTCTAAGTATATTTTGTAATATTGTAATAATAATTAGAATTCTATTCAATTCTAATTCAATGGACAATTTAAAACTAATTTTGCTATATAACAAAATTATTTTAAAATATTTGAATATTATTAACTAATGAAGCTATAAAAATGAATAGTTTAAAGTTTTGGAAATTAACAAAATTCAAATTTAGAAAAGTCAAATTCTTGTTTGTGTTCAATCATAATTCAAGAGATCAGAATTGTTATTTGTTCGCCATAATATGCACAGGTATTGTATATATAAAAATTTTTAAATTTCAAAATAAAATTATAAGTTCTGCAAATAGTATCTAAGTAACGTTGATTTTTAATATAAGTAGAGAAAATTTTCATTAATTTTTTTACAAGAAATTCTTAAATTCATTCTTATTTTGTAATATGTAGAAACTATATACAGTGGCGGTAATATAAATGAAGACACCTGTATTCATATTAAATTTGATCATTAAATTTGTTTTTAGTTACATTTAGGCATCACTATTGTTCCCAAAAAATAAGAGCAATTTTTTATTAAAAATAAATTCGGGGAAAAACGATATTCGCACTTTACATAATAAATGGAATTTGTACTTGTTGTTTTTTTTTTTGAGAATTCTAGTTGATATTTAATATTATTCGAGAATTGTTCAATTTAACAAGTGGACTTGTAAGTATGTTATAATAATTAAGACCACAGTGTACATATGTGAATAGGCATAAATGAATGCAGGTAAATTTTATTCTATTTTGTTTTTTTTCAAATATTTTTAATTTTTTATATTAAATTTGAACTCAAAATGGCATCGTACAATAATAGTTTTTTTTTTCATTTATTTTTTTTTTTGGCAAGCATCAATCATCAAATTTTATATCACCTAATCAAATCAATAATTAAAATTTATATCACTATCATAATATTTAAAAACAAAGAAGAAGAAATATTATATTATTTATAGTATATATGTATTTGTATGATTGTGTCTATACAGCGAGTATTTCCTATAAGGTTGAAAATGATTTCTGGGATGATTTTTTGAATAAATTTCAGCTGAAAATTGTCTTTATAGTTTTGAACGTATAACTGCCAAAACTATGAGAAACTGAAAAAAAAATACTGTGAGAAGGACTTTTATTTCTCATTGTAGCAACTCGAAAAATTTTTTAGTTTAATGACAAAAATTTCGGAGAAATTTCGTATTTAAAAAAATAAAGGTCAGATGTAAAATTAAAAATAAAGATCTAAATAAAGATTAGATTGTAAGATTTAGACTAAAGATCCACCTAAATTATCTTTAAGACAATTGGCAAATTGTTATTCTATGTTGCACAATTTTAAAGTTATATTAACATTTATTCATATATGAAGGACAAATCTGGGCTCTTATTTTTTTTTGACAGTCTGTAGCTCAAAAACGAGTATTCCTGCATTCCGTCAAACAAATAAATTTTTTTGCTGGAAATTGATTAAAGAATCATCTCTGAAATTATTTGCAACCTTACGCGAGACACCCTGTATATCGATTTTTTTTTATTAAATTAAATTTTAATTATTTTTTAAATGGTTTTTTGGTTTAATTTTTTTGGTAGAATTGTTTTTTCCTTGAATGCTCTGAAGTGAAACATAAGAGAGCATTATTTTGTTTCTTTGTGATTTTTTTATAGTTTAGATTTTTATTTTTAAATATTTTATTTAACTTTTTGAATATTAAAAACGATTATTTTTTTTTTGTTTTGGTTTCAAATAATTTTTTGTATTAAATTTTTTTGGTTTTCTTTTACAAATTATTTTTTTTTTTATTATTATTTTTTACTTAACATAAAACAACAATTGTAATAAAGGTTTTTGTTTTTATTTAAAATTTCTCTGATTTTTTTTTTGTTTTTAATAAATTTTGTTTATTACTAATAAATATTAATTTAAAAATATTATTGCTAAAATAATTCGTTCTTTTCAATGTTTTTTTTTTCTGTTCTAAACTTAATAATTTTAATTTTTCAAAAATAATATTTTATTTTTGTGATTTTATTTTTTTTTATAATTAAATTTTTGCATTTTTGCTTTAGATTTTTCAATGATATTTTTTTATGTAAATTTATATGGTAATTTTTGTTTTTAATGCTTTTTTTAATGCTGGTAGGTATATAAATATTTCTTTTTTGTTTTTTTATGCTGCTGCTGCGCGCTGATAACCTAAAGCCCCCTAAAAATTCTAAATTATCGTTATTATTATTATTTTTGTTTTTTTTTTTGTTGATCTGATAAATAATTTCTTTTTTTTTTTTGAATAATTAAATTTGGTTTGTTTTGTTTATTTATATTTTAATTTTAATTTTGAAATTTTCATTTATGAATTTTATGAATTTTTAGTACATAATATAAAATAAAAAAAAAAAATTTCGAAAGTTAAAATTTCGAGATTTTTGTTTTTCTTTTTTTAATTTTAGATATTTTATATTTTTTTTTTCTAGCAAATTGTTTCATAATAGTTTTAAATGTTTTTTGGTTTTTGTACAAGGCATAAAATTACTATCTATATATTTGATTGAATTTTATTATAACATTTTTTTTTTTTGGTTTTTCTTTAATCCTATTTAAAGCAGTAACTAATATGTATACGTTTATATTTTATATATTAAAAATGATTTTTATTTTTATATTAATTTCTTTAATACACTCATAATATTATTTATAGTTATTTTCTTTCTTTCTTTTGAGAACCGTGAAAAGAATTTAGGAGTTGTATATCAAATAAATAAATTATAATGGTTTTTTTTTTCGGAGATTTAGGATATTCTAAAGTTTAATAATAAAATATACATTTATAATTAGGTTTAGACTATAATATTAAATAATCATTTAATTAAATAGTATGCTACATTATGAAAAAATAATAAATGTATTGAAAAAGGCTTCTGTATATATGTTATTACATTAAGAGATGATATTGTTATATTTTAATTGACAATAATGTTGCCTGTACATGAAATTATTTTGATTTTTTTGGTGAGTTACTATTAATTTACATATATGACAGATATATGTATATCCCTCAAAATAATTTTAAGGTATAACAGAAATAATTTTTTAATTGGTATAATCGAAATGTTAATATTTTTTGCTTTATATAACAGTTTCTATTCTGTAGTTAATTTTTAGTATATTGCAGATAAACTGATTTAGTATTACAATTAATTTTTAGTACTCTGTTACTATTATATATGTTAATAATTTTGTATAATATAAAATTACTTGAATATTTAAAGAAATTGAAAAATTCGTGAAAATTCCTTGATTTTTATATTTTACTTCACTTTAATAGTATATAAGACTTCATGAATAAGAAATAAAAATATTATGAAAATTAAAAAATGAGCTGATAAATTGCATAATATTTTATTTGCTCACACTAATTTTCTTGCAGTGGTTGTTCTTTCAGAAAATGTATACAATTTCGATGTTTGGAAGTTCGAAGCAAATTTAAGTTTACGAAATTTCGGTACCAAAAACAAAAAATAACAAATTTCTATTCTTCTATATTGTCTTCTTTCTCTATTTCTTATAATCTATAATTTGCATTGAAAAGTAAGTGTTAGCAATTTTAAATATTTTCACATTTCAGATGAACAAATAATGTTTAAAGGCTAACAAGTTTTAAGTAAATAATATTTATGCTAAAAAAAGAAAAATTTCAATATGAAATTTAACAAAATAATTTTGAATGTATAACAAAATTTTTATTTGAAGATTCATTGGTCTCCAAAATGAGTACAATTTATAGGTTATCTATACTTACGAAAGCATAAAAGTTATTCCATAAAATCCATTTAGGTACCACAATTTTTCGATTTTGTGACTTTATATAGGGCGCAATATAAAATAACTCCGAATAGGTGATTTATGTAAAAATCATGAATTTTTTTATGGAAAAATTGAGAAAATAAAAATAATTTTCTATTCTATAATTTTCATACAATGAAAACATTTTTTACATAGAACGTGATCTAAAATTATTACAGAAATATAAAACAGCTACGAACTCTTCCGATTCTACAAAATTTTTTATATAACAGGCGAATATAGTTCTCAAAAAAAAATTTTTATTTTGTTTTAAAGAAATTTTTTAATTTAATTAATGCGCTACTATTTTTTTTTGTTTCTTTTAAACATTAATTTTTTTCCGAAATTTCAACTTTCGAAATTTAATTTTATTATTTTAATTTAGAAATTTCAATATATAGGATGTTGATTATTTCTTCTTGTTTCTGTGTTTTTGTTTTGGTTTTAAATGATTTTTAATTTTTGACTGTAATTATTATATAATAAATTTTTCATCGTTATAATTGGTACAATTTAATTGCAATTTACATCTTTATGTTTTTGTTTTGCATATATTTCTATATATAAATAAATATTCATAATTTTTTTTAATTTTATTTATATGCATATATATATTTACAGCTATATTAATATATATTTCATATATATTATTTTTTTCCCTCTGTATATTTAAATATATAGATAATATATGTAATAAAGCGTATGTTTTTTTTTTATTAATTATACCAATTAGAATATAATTTCTAGGAAAATCCTTTGTAGTGCACAAAAAAGAATATTAGAAAAATTGCATAAGCTGTTGGAAATGTTATTCGAGCTATTACATCTATTGTTTTGGCTACACGTATTGGATGGGGCGGTTCCTTTTTTCTGACTTGTACAAAACATGTCTGTAAAATATTTATGAAAAAAATCAAATTAATTTAATAAATTCAATTTTATATTTAAAAAATATTTTAAAGTTTCCACAGATTTATTGAATGATAATAATGTATAAAATAATTAATAAATATTATAAATATTTTATATCTTGTGGAAGAAAAATTTATGCAAGAAAATAATTATTAATTAATATTTGTATAATAAAGATGTTTGTTCAAAGATCATATTATTGTTAAACGAAATAACAAATATTTGAAAATTGTTAAGGTAACTTTTTTATGTTTTTAACTAATTATGTAATCCTACCTCCGTGGCACATCCATTATTAGCTGAATGTGTACATGGACTTGTTCCACCACCACAACTGGTACATGCAACAATTTCATTTGGTCCTCCAATATCTCGGCGTTTTTCACCCTAAAAATATATTTTTATAAAATTGTAAAAAGAAAAAAAAACGAACCAAAAATTAAATATGGTCTAATTGAAAATTAAATTAAAAAAAAAAAATAATTTGTTTTACTTTAACGAAATATTGTGGATTATCGCATTTAATAACATTATAGTGTTTAAATTTTGTTTTGTTTAAAAAGGATATATTAATTATAATTAATTTAGAAAAATCATAGAAAATTAAAATAAAATATTGAAAGATTTTTATAGTAAAATCATCATAAACTTTAAAAGAAGATGAAATTAATATATGAATGATAATTTGTCTATTTTAAATATTACTATAACTATAAGGTATATATAAATAAGTGATAGCTAAGTTTATATATAGTTCTTATATAATGTTAAAAGAAATTATTGAATTTTTGTTAAATTTTAAATTTTTTGCAAAATTTCACTCAATAGTTTCTTAATATCAAAGGTAATTAATTATATACACTGATTTGTTAATGGTGATTTATTTCGTTATTATGTTATAGCATTAAAGAAGCATAAGCGAAAACTAAGGAAAAAAACATAAAACTAAAAAAATGGGATTTCTAAATTAACTACTTGCATGAATATTTTCATAGCTGGTTAAATAACTGCAAATAGCTAATGCAATAATTAAAAATAAATTTGGTAAAACTTCAATAATTAATTATTGCAAATTTTCAAATTTAAAAAAAAAATAATTTGACAATTTTGTTCAATCGATTTTAATTTTTTTGCGTCTTAATAATTAAAATATTAATTTAACAGTATTCAACATCATGCGTTGTTATACTTGTATAACATATTTTGTAAACTATAATATTATGAATCGATATTTTTTTACACATAAAATAAATATTTTCTTTGTATTATTTAAAAATTGATCAATGTAAATATTTTAATAATTTATTAAAAACTCATTTGTGTAAATATTTTATTCTCGTTTAGTGTAAATATTTTTTGAAATCTAATGATACATAAAAACAAACAACAATGTTTCAGTTGATGTTTCAGATTATTCAATCATACTGCCACATTTATTGAAAATAACTTTATTAGTTTTGGAAATATATAAAATAATTTATTTGAATTGTATGGGAATTATCTGACGTTGTTCAAATTGACACAATTGCAGTAGAAATTATTCTTTGACAGAAATGTAACAATTGCTTAAAGTGTGATGGTGTTTGATTTTTTCGTCTTTCAGAATTGACGGACAGAACTCCATACCAAAGTTAATATATAATTTCATATAGTTGCAGGATATAATAAATACATATTAAAAACATTTTTCAACTATTAGCAGCCACCGAATCAAACCGACGAAAATTTAAAAAATAATATATTTTCATCGAACAAGTAAAATTAAAAAAAAAAGGAAACAATGTTTTACTTAAAGAATTTTCATTATTCAAAATATTCACTAACATTGTAATCGTAATAGATTGTATTGTAGTCATTGTTATGGAAGAAACCAAAATTGCATACTTCTAGGATTATTTAAAAAATTAAAAGAAGCGGTTGAAAAGACATTTACTCTTATAATTTGTAGAAAAAAGAAGAAGACGAAAACTGAAATTTTACGAAATTCGGACAAAAAAAAATTTGAAGGAGACAAAGACAGAAACGGTCTATTTCGACACAATTTACTATTTATTAATTTCTAAAAAATGTTAAAATCTTAGGCAAAATTGGAAATGTTAATTTTATTTGTAGTTCATAAAGTAGCCGGATTTCTCTTCAAGTCGACTTTTCGAATTGATCTCGTGGTTTATATCTATTTGTCTAATTATAAAATCCCATAATTAAACAAATGTTGTTGATATCGAATCGCATTGAAATTTACCCATAATAGTGTGTGTTTTATTCATATTTATATTTTACAATATGCAAATAATTTTTGAAATATTTTGTTAGGAACTGTTATATAAACTTAGCTTAAATTTTTGTGTTTAAGTTATGAAAAATTAAATATATGTTAATGAAACAAAAACATAAAAAAAAAACTATAAAAATAAAAGAAAAATATTATTGAAAATGTCATTAAACAATGTATATAATATATAAATTACAAAAAAATAAGAACACAAAAAAAAAATCAAAATTAAATAAAAATTTTTATTCAACATAGAAATAACACTGGGCAAAATTTTTAGATTTATTTTATGTAGTTTTTAGTTTTTCTACATTTTATTAATATTGTACCCAGAGAAATTACATGATTTATGTATATTTATATATGTATATATATAAATATATAAATATATACAATATAATATATAGCAGAAATAGAAAAACTCAAATTATAAAATAAATTATGTAATTTACATTATTTTCATAATTAATCATTATTATTTATGCATAATCATTTTTAAATTATTTATTATAGTTATTGTGGTAATTTCGGAATCAAAAATATTTTATTTACAATGGATTTTCTTTAAAGAAACAGGGACTATTTAAAACCTATAGGTTTATTAATAAATTCATATTTAGAGTTTTGATATTTTATAATTCTTTGGTGTATATAATTTGAATTTTGTCCATTTTCTTTCATAAAAAGTTAAGGCATGCAATCATATAATTAGTGATAAAATTTTGTTAATTAATGTCCGAAAATCATAATTAATTTAGTAATTATCATCAATGAACATACAGATTGAAAGTATGTTTTATATTTTTATTATTCGTTAAATATCTTGAATTTTATGTACAAAATTCCATTGCATATATAATATTATATAAGTAATAAAAAAAAAATTGAGTTTAAAAATATTATTATACAATTTACAAAGTCCAGTTTCTGTTTTTACAAAACAAAAAAAAAAATTCCGACCTTTTTCTCATTCTTAATTTTGATTTTATTAATTTTTTATTATTTTTTAAAATATTTTAATATTAATTATATTAATTGTATAACTTTTATTATTCGTTTATTTATTTAATTTTTTCTTGTTTAAGTACACAAATAAAAAGAACAAAAAAACATAATTATAAAAACAACAATTTTTATTAGAAAAGAAAATTGTTATATACGCTTTTTGTCTTAAAAATTTCAAAATATGCAATTTTTTTTTCATTCTAAAACGAAAACTCATAATATAAAATGTATAAAAGGTTTTTATATCGTACTTTATTTGAGACTTGATTCACTTTGCACTTTCAAATTAAAAGCGTTGTATTTTAATTAAAAAAAAAATAAATAAAAGAAAAAAAATTAAAATTAAAAAATTAAAACAGAAAAAACAAAATGAGAAAATAGAAAAGAGAAAACAATAAAATTACTGTTACCTGCACTTAACAGAAAGAGACACATATATGTATTTTAATACAATTATATATGTATATAATATATATATATATATATATATATACATGTAAAATGAAGACAATTATAGTGCTTAATTGTTTACAAACTCACAAAGTTATTTAGAGAAGAACAAACAGAAAAGTTTTTTTTTTACACACATTTTGTTCCGTTATCAGTATGACAATTTTTTTGTTTTTTATTGTTTTGTACAAAGCAGGACAGTTACATTTTTTTTTTCATTTGAAATGAAAATGAAACAAATATAGCGATTTTTAAGTAAAATTGTCTTGTATAGCCAAATAAAAATATACTTAATAAAACAAAAAGAAAAAAAAAAATAAACAAAAATTAAATTGAAATTCAAACGAACAATTAAAGCAAATATAGAGAGAGAGAATATGACAGTTATTTGAGCAGAATTGTGTAAAATGTCCTTTTATTTTAAAAAACAAAATACGTTGAATATGTAAATTTATTTTTAATTTTATAATATTTTTCACATTATTTATGTATATTTGCATCCTTATTGTTAATCTCACTCGTATAGAATTCTACGAATTTCAAACTAAGTTACGCACGTAGAATTGTGAGTAATTATAAATTTTTCACTCGTAGAAATTATGAACCTGCAATGTCAACATTATTTTTCGAAGTATCATAATTGATATTTTATTATCGCTATCAAGTGTCAACATTTCAATTTTTCAAATTTCATAGTAAATATTTAAAAAAATAATAGACGTCTCAAAAAACGATGGACGTCTCAAGACCACTCTTGAATACTGGTTTTCTACGTTTGAAAATTTCTTGAGTAGAATTTTGTCATTTATTTTTATTACCAGTGTGATTCATAATTAATTACTATCTATTACAAATTTCAGAATACAATTCTACTGCTTCGGAATTCACAATATGAAATACGTAATTTCTCCGTATTTCAGTACTGCGAGTGAGATTTACAATAAGGGTGGATTTCGTAGTTATTATTTTAATTATTAATTTATAGTACTATCTAAATAAATACATATATACATATATAACGTACAATAAAATTGTATATTAAATTATTAAATTCTTAAAAAAAAAAATTTATTTTAATATTATTAAGAGTTTATGTAATTTTATTAAAATTTAGAATATTAAAACATAAGAGAACTGAATAAATTAATCATTACTGTTAACCATACAATCCTTGAACATTATGTTGTTATGGTTGTAAATTGGTTTTAATAAAAATTTTTATTAATTTGAAAAATAATATTAATTTTAATGTATATTTCATTAATAAAGCATTAATTTTACATTCTAATGAAAATTTAATAAAATTACATTAAGTTTAAGTTATAATATGGATAGAAGAATTAAGTTCTGCTTGACAATTTTAATAAATTTTATTTCTTAACTATAGTTTTGAAGAAATTATTTGTTTGATTGAAAAATTTTAAGAATATTATTGTGAAGAAATTGAAGATATTACTGCTGAATTCAAGAATATTCTTAATATTATGTTAGACCGGCACTTAACATTCTAAATTTATGCATTCGCTGTTTTATTATAACAAATAATAGCTAATATAAAATTATTGACCGATATATTTTACTGTTGCAATTATTTTAAGGAAAAAATTGAAAATATTAACAGGAAATTATGAAAAAAAAAGAATCAAGATAAGTTTTTCAT